GTGAATAGAACCATGAATGCTGTGGTTTCCATGAGCTTTCTTTCAGTCTCCAAAGCATTCACCATTGGTGGCAGCTTCTTCATGTTCGCTGGTGTATCTGTACTCGCTTGGCTCTTCTTTTACTTTTTTCTTCCTGAAACCAAAGGCGTGCCTTTGGAAGAAATGGAAATGGTTTTTAGCAAAAAATCCTGCCCTAAAAATGTAGTAACAAAACCTGATCCCAGATAGAAACTATTGTGTTTTGGCAAGAGTTATAATATTCTTGAAGCCCAAAGGTGGGACAGTGTACCATTTTGAAGTAAATGTTGTTAAATTCAACAGACAGGGTTCTATATTTAAATCTCTTTTTACCTTATTATTTTCTATCATCTTTAACAGTATAATAAACACTTAGAAAACCTAAGTGCCTAAATAGTTAAAATAAAAATTCTGCCACTCTGGCTCCAGTGGAATTAGCCATATTCAAATTTCAGGCAAAGTAGGGTTAAGTGAAATTCAAATTAAACCTCATCATTAGGTTTTAAGACCATAAATAGTGAGATGAATAACTTAACAATTCAGAATTGGTTAGGTCTTGCTTACTTAATAAGATTAATGGGCCTTTGTATTGTTTTGCATGAGATAAAGAGTATACAAATTGATGAAGATGAAACTTGAAAGGCCATGATAGAATGAAACGGTTTTTTAGATCATATTTTAGGTATTTTCTAAATAAGAAAATTTAATTTCATTCAATGTAATAAAGCTCAAACATGATCAAACTGAACAAGTCGAAATGATAAAATAAATTTCTATACAAAAATAGAATATAAAATAAATGACCTACTATAAATTATAATAAAATTCCTAAAACCAAAAGTAATCTCAAATTAAAAGCATTGAATCAAGCTGCCTAATTAAGAACCGGTTTAATATCCAATTTTTAATTAAAAAAAACAACTTAAAATCCCGGAGAAAAAAAAAAGTTCCAAAGCTTACGTATTTGATACAGTTTATGCTATCTGATTAAATTTTATTTGTCTCATCTTAAATGGGCTACATATTTCAAATATAAAATTCTAAATTTAATTGGAAAACAGTATCAACTATTTAAAATAGTTTTCTCCTCAGAAAAAACCGATCTGTTGAGTCTAAAATTAGCAAAAGAACGATATATTAAATTTATTTGAAATAGTTTTTTTTTTATATTTTAAAAAAAATATGTTTATAAAATATAAAAATCAAGATAAATAAAGGTGGATGTAGAAAAGTTATTTGCTCAATTAGTATTAATTTCTAACAATATATAACATGTACTTGTATTTGCTTTTTTTTTTCATAACACTTTATCATTTATATAAATTTTCAATTTTACGATTCTAATTTCTCAAAGTTTTAATTTTAATTATTATACTGATATTAAATATTGAATTGGTGTATTTAGTGAGGAAAAGTTTGTGTAGACTATATTAGACGAAAGAGGACTCGACTAAATTTGTAGTTTTAGCATTTAACTAATCGTTTTAAGTCCTAATTTAAATGTAAACTAATTTGAACTTTAAGCATCGATGAAGCACTTGGCAAAGTGGAAATGGTTAATGGATAAGTGTGACGAAAACGGTGTCGTCTATGTGTCGGTTGCACGCGGTATCGATGTCGGTGGCTTAAGTCCAATCAACGGTCATCATTGATCCATCTAAAACAAAGGTCAATTTATCTTAACAAAACACATATTATTGCGGTATCCCACTCTCCAAACATACCACGATTTCAGAATTCTTTTCACTAACTAAAATAGTAATAATCACTGTTCAGTGTTCTTCTTCAGTTTAGATCGGCTTCATTTCCCCTTTGGACAAATCTGAGTCTGAACGATGAAGCGAATGCAAAAGCACCCACCACAATGTTAGAAGAAAGAAGAAAAACGTAGAGCTAAATTCCATACCCAAACAAAACCCGACCGGTTTTTTTCAATTGAAATCCAAGAAATGAAGGATGAAGAGACACTCCCAATTGCGAAAAAGGAAACCCTAACTTCAGATTCAGGTTTATTCGGAAGAGGAAGTTACAAATTTTGGGCACTGGCGGCCATTTTGCTCCTCGCACTGTGGTCCATGTTCACCGGCACCGTCTCGCTCCGGTGGTCGGGCACGCTCAACACCTTCTCCCATGACCTCCACGTGCCGCTCCACGACCACCTCGACGTCCTCGTAGGTTTCCATTTTGCTCTTTCCGCATCTGGGTTTAACGGCATGTGTGACCTAATAATGGGTAAATGTGAGTGCAGGAAATGGAGGAGAGAGAGAAGGTGGTGAGGCACATGTGGGACGTGTACACGAATAACCGTAGGACCAGGTTGCCTCGGTTCTGGCAAGAGGCCTTCGAGGCTGCGTACGAGGATTTGAGCAGTGACGTGGCGGAGGTTAGAGACGCTGCCATCGCCGAGATCGCTAACATGTCTCTAAGCTCCTTTGATATTCAATTGCCTCCTGTCACACATTCTACGGTTTTTACTTCTCCTTCCTATTAAAATTATTGAACTCGATTTATCTGTGCCACTGCTTTTTATTATTATTATTATTATTATTATTATTATTGTTATTATTATTATTATTATTAAGTATTATATAACGAGTGATCTTATGAAGTAAAGATTGGTTTGAATTCCGATCAAAAGTCGTGTCAGATATAACTTTTCAGGCATTTGTGGTTAAAACCCTATACACTAATGGTGCATTTATTGTTTCCTCTTTGAACCGTGTAAATATGTTTTACATTATCATTCACTTTCCTTAATTTTGTTGACTTTTATTTTAACTATTTTAATAACATAATTTCTTATTAGCAGTAAAAGCTTTTTTATACTAACAATGATGCTTATTGTCCACGTATCTTTTATCCTTATTAATTGAAATGAATCCTTTTGAGGAGGAACTTTTCTTCAAGTAGATGGTTTACAACGTGGCCCCCTGTCAGGGGAAGAAAGTTTTGTTTTGTTCATTTTGTTGGCTTGATTACATGTTTTGTTGCTTGTCTTGCAACAGTTCTTTGATCTCTGCTTTGATTCCATTTCGACTCTCTTGGTTGTGTTCAAATGTGCAAATTGAATTGCCTCTCGTGGCACTGCTGTTTTTTAACCAAGTCTGAGAAATTTAGCTTAGAGCTTAATTCCACCCCTCGGAAACTAACATATAAGGTGAGGATTGTCCATGTTTTGTATACTTATTTACACTATATCTTAGTCGATGTGAAACTAAATAACCTTTCCAACATAGCAAATTAGGCAGCTCAAAGTAGCCACAAGGCAGGGGTGACCACAATTAAGGGGACTTTCCAATCACTGAGATATTGCTACGTAGGGAACATTTACTGCTACTGAAAAATTATCTGCTAATGGGGGATTTAATTCCCATCAACTTGAAAAGCTGGTGCATAGCATTGTTGAAATAGGAACTGGGCGTCCACAATAATTAAAGGAGACATATGCGTAGGCCTCCCCTTTCTGCCCTGTCCCGGTGCCCCTTGCCTTGCTTACTCGTGCAAGAATTGAATCCCATTCCGCGCATTAGTAAGAGACAAAATTGGACAGTATATGGATTGTTGAATTGTTTGATACAATTAAGATAATGTGGAACTGGTGTGGTCAGGAGGAAGGACTGCTTGGAAAAGAAAATAAAATGAAAAGGAAATGTATCTTGATAATTGTTGAGATTGAATTTCTTATTTAGTCTAGTTGTTATTGAATTTCTATTATTACTGGTTGAAAGAGATCCTTGGTGCGACCATTAGAGTTGCTGCCATGTGACTAGGAGGTCAAGGTTCTGAGTCGAGGAATTAATCTCTTGAAAATGCCAAGTAAGTCTGCCTGCGATATACTCTTAGTGGTGGGAGCCTTTAGCACTGTATTCTGTAGCCTCTTTTTCATATAATTATTAGTTAATTTAGGTAGATTGTTTGAGTATCGTGACTGGTGGTGACTCTCAAGGATGTAAGCGTTTACAGAAAACAGACAGCTGTCTGCAATTGTAATTTGTGATTTAGGGTAGCCGGCATAACATTGATATTTTAGTGTAAATTAAGTGTCCCTCCTTGTCTGAATATGTTGAGGACATTCAACATTAGAGTATTATTTCACATTTTTCTTCCACATAAAAGGGTAAGTTAATGGGTGAGTTTTACGAGTGAACTTGTTTGTATGAACAATATGGGGATCATATATGATCAGAAGTGTTGGTAAGTCTTATAAATAAGACATAAATTCACGTGTGAGTTTTGATGTTAAGGCTTATAAATAAGACATAAATTCACTTGTGAGTTTTGATGTTGTTGGTAAGTTGGTTTGATGTTTTTCTCTTTGTTTACATTTTTTGGGTATTAAGGACGGGTAAATTAGCTTGTTTATGTTTATACTGAATTTTGTAAGGGAATGTTGAAAACAACATAAATTTATATTTTATACTTCTTTAACAAAATCAAGAAAGCAGGAAAAGAATGTACTTAATAGGTTTATCAAGAAAATGCCCCAACACCCTTGTCTTAACAGGTTTCTTTGACTTCTTAGAAGCTGGGGCGTGACAGAAATTGTATCTATTAATGCTTCAATCTAGATGTTTTTCGAATGCATGTCTCACTGCATTTATGTACCATTTCAGAGAGCACAGGAAGTTGATAAGAACCTCGAGCAATTGGAGAAAGGTAAAGGTGCAACCTCCAAACGTGCATAGATATTGGAATGTGAAGCAACCAAAGGGCCGTGTTACCTGAAGCTTATCTTGTGGTTCCCAGGCGGACTCATACTCCGGTTTTCATGCATCCGTAACACGGAAAATTATGTACTTTATTTGGTTGTGATTCTTTCAAATTTTGCAGTCAACTTCATAATGTTCACTGTACTAGTAAATTGGAACGTGATAAATCAGATTAAAAGTATATTTCTGGTTTGATTTCATATATATATATATATATACTTGGTTTCTAATTTGAAAAAAATTGTACTAGGTTTCAAAAAATGAAGAAAACAAATACTCATTTCAATTTATGGTTATCCATGTGCAGTACTTCTGACCCATACTTGACACTCAGGGTTCCAAAATAGAAATAGATCAAAAATTATTTCCAAGTTCTTGCTTAGGAAATAATCATTTCAAATTGATTAAAAGATTCTGATGGTCTTCTTATAGAAATCTCAATTTGTTTTTTTTTTGTTCTAAGTTGTTTTAATTGGATTTTCAATTTAAAAAATGTGACGCAATTTAAACTTTTCTGTTAAACGATGTTAATGCAATTTGATTAATTTGATTCTTTCTATTAGATGACATTAATTCAATGTCATGTGTCAATGGTTTTTTTTTTTTTATTTAATTTTTAATTTTATTTTAATTTTTTTAGAAAAGAAAACTTTGTTACATATTGAATGAGGACTCTGACCTGGCACAGATAGTATGACATTATGAAAAAATGTGAAAAATGTCATTGGAAAATCTTAGTATTTTTATTTGAATTTTGACTTATTTTAATTCTAATTTTTTAAAATTAAAGCAATTTTATCTTTTTTTTTAATTAAGATCAAATTTAACTTTTTTTATATATGATAATTTTTTTATATATGATAATTTTATTAAAATTGATGTTTTCATTAAATGTTTTCGACTATATTAAATTTATATTTTACATTAAACTTTATTTATATTTTGTTTTACATATTTAAATATTAATAAATTCTATACAAATATTAGGGTTAGTTTAACGTTCAATGTAAAATATAAATTTAAATAGATTTAATATTGTTAAAATTTTATATTTGAATTTATGATATTGTTATTTTAAACAAATTCTAATATTTTTGAATAAAATTATTAATATATAATAAAATTCCCTATAAAATATAAATTTAATATTATTAAAAATATTTAATAAATTTTTTTAATAAAAATATCAATTTTAATATAATATAGTTAAATTTAGTCTTAAAAATGATATAATTATTCTAATTTAAAAAGAATTAAGGCGGGATTAAAACAAAATACAAATAAAAGGACTAAATTGAAATTTTTCATATGACATTTACTATGTGACTGTTTGATGGTAAATCTCCTAGCCATAGTCAAACACTTTCAAGAGAGTGGAAGCTATGCATGAAGATGATATCAACTCTATCTTGTGGGTCACCTTTGGAGCTATCATAGAGCATGAATTGAAGAAGAATGTAGAACATCTAGGTCATTGTATTCGACCATGTAGTGTGAGTTTGTTTAAGGCTTCTATTAAGGTCTAAGTAGCGTATGATTTTTCCTAAGTTAGACATCCAAACCAAGTGGAAAGTGTGTGTCATGTGCCATGTTTTTTAAAAGTGACCACATGACACCTAGGAATGAAGATGATTTCTTTTTGGTAGTGACCACATGTTTGTGTGTTTTTTCAAGGATTTAATCTTAATTGATTCTCTATTGTATCGACTCATATGTGAGTTTTTCTTCCACATAGTCAACAAACACTCATTTTTCAATTTAACTAGAGTGTTTTCACGTCTAAGTATTAAGGAAAGGGATTAATTTCACGTAAATTTTACTAATTTCATGAACAAATTTCATCCAAACATTTAATGAATTTGATCTCCTTTATACTTGAATTTCAATGAGAATCTCCTGTATAAAATTTGCTATTTTTTCTTTTGGGTTTTTTTTTTATGTAAATGGAAATGAAAATGAAAGAACATTGGATGAAGTGCAATATAAAGATGGTAAAATTCAAGTGGTAGTAGGTGTGATGATAGAAGAAATAGAAGAAGTTATTGTAAAGTAACAAGAACACTTAAATAAATTGCAAAAAGTGAATTACAAACAAAAGTAAAGGAACTTGTAATAATAAATCAACAAAAGTAGTGACCACAAAAATTAATAGGTTTAATTGCTTACTTTTTCCTTAGTTTCGTTACAATGTGTCAAGTTGGTCCTCTCTTTAAAAAAATTTACAATTTCCTATATACCTGGTATAATTTGCCTGAATCAAGTCTCTTTTGTTAAATATATAGAAACAAAGTTAATTGTTTCTTAATGTGGCAAAAGAGTACGGTAACATTTGATTTAGGGTTTTGATTTGAGGTTTTTTTGCCGCGTTTTGATTTGGGCTTGGGGATAACCATTTCTTCCTCTTCTTTCTAGATTCAAATTGGATTCCTGTTTTTGGGATTTTTGCATTTTGATTCGCATTTGAGATGTAGGTTTTCTGAAATTTGGAATTTAGGGTTTTTGATTATGCAAGTTAGGGTTTTAATTGTTCTCTAATTTTGGGCATTTCTGTTTTGTTATCTAAGTTTTGTGAATTGGGATGTAGGACTTTCATTTCAAATTGTAGTTTTGGGATTTTTGTCAATGCAAGATGAACAACACTGATTCAATGAGGTACATACTTGACTTAGGGCATCACATATACCTCCCCTTTGTAATCACTTTACATTACATTTAAACATCTGTAAACCTTAAAATATTAGTTTTGCCATGTTATCATACTCTTTTGCCACATCAAAAAACAGTTAACTCCGTTTGTGCATATTCAACTGAAAGAACTTGGTTGAGGCAAATTATACTATGTGTGGACGAAATTGAAACTTTTTTAAAAGGAAGGATCAACTTGACACATTGCAGTAAACCTAGGGACAAAGTAAGCAATTAAACCAAATTAATATTGGATTAGTCATTTTTCCTATTCGCGGCATTTTGAAATGTATGTTTTGTTCCACGATTTGTCACAATTGTAAAATACAAAATAAACCCTATTTATATTTTCTGACATTCCTCGTACAGTTACAATATTTAAATTCAAATTTGAACAATATTACATATAGTTGTCCTAAAACTAACCTTACCAGTTTCAAAGTTCATGTAGCTTGGAAAGTTGATATTCGCTAAGTTTTCTAGAGTAATTGTTGCTTTGTCCATTTCTTCGATTTTCTTCTTGGTTTCGATCAATAGTTGCTTCATGACTTTCATTTTCTCTCGATCAACTTTTAAACAAGAGGTTAGTAACTAGCTTTTAATGAGCTACTTGCCTATTTTATGACATTCATCTCATTAAGAAGCACTTGATTAATTGTGTCTTCACTCACCCCATCTTTGTAGAATATAATCATTTATGGTTCACAACTAGTGAAGTTCGGAAAGCACAAAATTTTTTGATAACTCCTGAAGACTTTATTATCCTACACCAATAGTGTCTCTATAAAATTGGGAACTAACAGCAGAATAAGAATCTGATTAGCTTTGAGACCTACATTCACTAAGGGTGCAAATCCCATACTTGTGTATAAGCAAGAATATCTCAATGGTTATTGACTACACTTTGATAACATTATTAGTGTTTGGGAGATAATATACCTGAAAATGTTTGGCAGCACCTCTAACAATGTTTACCTGAAAGAGTCGAAAAAGAAAACAGTTATACTTAGATAAAGATTAAGACTCAACCTGAATGTAAAAAGAGGTGTATAACTTAATATACCAAAGCAAAAACAAAATCAGCAAAAAAATAAAAAAATTCCATCTAACCCTGTAAAATACAAAAAAAACAAGAGACGGCAAAGCAGCATTACCTTCACAATATCACGATCATTCCATGGCCTTTTATTAGATCTAAGACATCCATCTTCTCCAAGACATGTACACGACCCACCTAAAAGTTCTGGCAACTAGCAGTGTACATATTTACAAACCATAGATTATTAGACATCAATTTGATTAAAAATTACACGTAGACCCAGGTTCAAGAACCTGCAAATGGTTTTCGCATCAAGAAACTTCTGTGTAGCATGCCAGAGCATCTTCTTAAAGCCCAGACCGGCATTGCTGAGATACATTCGGTTTAATGTCTGCAATGAATGTTGATGATTCTAATGCACACATGAAGATGAGGGGAAAATAAATTGCTTTGGGAAAGGGAAGGATGAAAACCTCAGGATAGTAATTGTATATATTTTTATGGCAGCTAAAAGACTTGCACCAGTAGGAGATAAATTTTTTATTGCCTATATTACAAACATCATCAAGTTAAAATTGAAAAATGTACAAAAAACGATGAAGATACTGAAATTGTGAAATACCTTATTAAGTACAACAAACTATAAGGAATACAAACACCTTAACCAAGTTTCATTGATGAGACACATAATTTTATAATAAACTTGAGTGACACAATACAAGTTACCAAGCTCTGTACGTCCAATATTGTTGTGGTTGATGAAATCCTTCTTTTGGCTGCAATGGAACATGCTGGAAACTTTTCTTGCAGAGCCCTCTCGAACTCTTGGACATGACATTTCAAATATCTATCTATTGTGGTGATACACATCAACCTACTTGGATGAGCTTTCCCAAGCCTTTCAATGTAAACTGCTCTACCTTCCTTATTAACTCCGTGATACCCGTGAGGGTAATGCTGCAACACCTCTTCCAACTCTTCAAATTCAAAATTTAGTAATTCAACTGGCCAAACATTGGTGACTGAGTTAGCTACAAATATAAAACCAAACTGGTTAATTCATGTAACTAAATTAGCCAATTTCATAAAAAAAATCAGATTGGTCCAAGCAAGGATTAATGAAAACTGAACAAGGAAAAAGGAATTGGTTTGCAGATGCAGCTTTGGATTCTCGTCAAATAATTAATTTGGACTGTACTAGTCACAATGCAAATCTCACAGCTGCAGGGTGTATGTAATAGGTTGTTTTTCAATGTTTACTCAAACTGATATTGCAAAGGCAGCAGATCAGATTTGCTTGCTGCAGTCCAGACCTGTTTTCGTGCTTGTCGTTTATCACTTTTCCCCACTTCCTAGGAGACTACCAATGATAGATGAGGTCTCTGAACTGACTGCACCTTCAAATCACCTCACAAGAAAACAATTACGACAGTTTTAATAACAATTAATACTTCCAGTAGCGCCAAATAAAAACCAGAAG